CTGCAAAAGATCAGCTGCTGTTTTACCTAATATTTCTTTAACAAAACCGTAAAATTTCTCATCAGTAAACGATAATACATCCTTTGGTAATTGATTTGTATCGAAAGCGTACGTTGTTTTAACAATATCCATAATATTCATCAGAAACTTTTATATTGAATTTAAAAAACAAATGATATATAACTAAATGTAAGTGAGCAAATTAATTAAATTGATTTCAAGTATCATTCAGAGAAAATCGCCCTAAGACGACACTCATCACTATTCGCTGTAAATTGACCTACTACGCATTTTTCGTTCTTCTGCCCTACCCGCAATGCCAACAAATACATAGTTTCTTCGAATAGTAGCGATATCTAGTCAATTAATGTGGATTAGGTACTGGAATGAAGTTATGCATTCTAATGATATTAACTTTTTCGTACTGCTCTATGCTCTAGACTTTTTTGCTAATTTTAGATTTATATATAATTTACTGTAAAATTTTTTTTTACAATGAATAACAGCAATATGTCCAATTTATCGATGTTACCAGACAATGTTTTAACATTGAAAGGTGATGAGTTTTACAAATTTGTACAATCTGTAGCTGGGGAACCATTATATGATATTCTTAAAATTCAGTCTATCAATTCAACACAATCATTGTTGGATACGGATGATATATTTGAAATATTTAAATATGATTCACCTGATTTAATTGAAATTAAAAAGAAAGTCATGTTTTAAAATAAATGGTGAATATGTGGTCAAAGCTGGTATAAAAAATAGTTCAACATATTTAATAACATTATTAAAAACAAAACAGCAAACATTAATAAATAATAGCAATGATAGTAATAATAATCCAAGACAAATGTCTAATGAACTATTAAATAATAACCCTTTGTTAAAATCGCTAATTAATTGGTATGAACAAAATGAAAACATGAATATGAATAACAAAAGTAATAATTAACAATTATTTTTATCATCATTTATCGATAATATGACAAATAACCTTTCAAGGTCAAAAAATAATTATCAATATAGTGATTCTGTTAAACGTTTCGCCCTATTATTATATATATTAGGTGGAAAATTGACATATGAATTAGTACGAATAAATTTAGTTGGTGCTCTGCCACATTTAACAACATTAAATAAATTAATATCAAGTACATGTCTTAGTATAAGAGAATGTGAATTTCAATTTGATAATTGAAAAATATATTTAAATTCAATTGATGTACAATTTGGTTTTGTATCCGAAGATTGTACTAGTGTTATACGTAAAATAAAATATGATGTTTTCACAAATTCATTTATTGGTTTTTCGACACCGCTTGCTGATGGAATACCAATTGCTCAACATTACCAAACTGATTCATTTGAACAACTAAAGGGATTGGTTTAGCACAACTAATAAAGCACCATTAAATATCCATATGTTTCAACCATTGCCATCAATTCATACAACTTCACCAAGTCCATTTTTAATATCTGCATATGGTGTTGATAACACATTTACAGCAAATGACATTTTACGACGATGGATATTTATTTTTGAAAAATTTATTCAAAAGCAAATCAGAATTATAGGTTTTTCTACAGGTAAAATCTTATTTCTGAGTCTTTGTAGTCTTGTTATAAATATAAATGCAAAATATATTTTCTTTTTTTTTAAACAGATGCTGATAGCAAATATATGAGAGCAATGAGATTGACAAGTGGATTTTTTGCATCCTTACCAAACTTTGCATTGCATAAACATCCAAATGCATTTAAAATAAATTTAACATAAAAAATGGTCTTGGTTTTTTCTTCGCCAAGAACAACTATTCTTATTTTTACAAGATCCAACACATTTAGTTACCAAATGGAGAAATCGATTATTCTCATCAAAAGCTCAACTATGTATTGGTCAACAATTCATTACCATGGAGCATTTAAGAAGCATTATTGATAATAAACAATATACAAAATTAGACCATAACCTAACTAAAACAGATTTAAATCCAAAAGTTCGTCAAAACTATCGTTCATGTATTAAATTGATATCAGATGATGTATTGAAAATTTTAAATGATAATATAAATACGCAAGGAACATTTGTTTATCTTCAACTTTTAAAATTAATAGTACTAGCATATATTGAAAAAACAACACCAATTAAAACATGTAAGTTACTAGAATATTACACAATCTTTTCTAAA